CAGCAAGAGTGTTGGGCCAGGTTTTTTAAATTTTTGGGCAGCAGTGTAGTGCCGCCTCCACGTGGCGCTGCCTGGGATCACTAGTGGTTACTACTGCTAGTGATGCTAAGAGCACTACATACAAGAAGAAAAATAACAATGCTAACAGTAAGTTTGTGTAAGGACTTTAATATTATCATTGATAGGTTCAAGCTGAAATAAAGATGAAATGTCAAGTGGATTGATACTCAAGACTGAAGCTAGAGATTTATATACTAGTTTTAATTTTTTGAAAAATAATTCTTTTAAATTTTGATTGCATGTATTTATGGCGATTTGAACTGTTATTGCCAGCTCTACAACTACTACTGTGCAGCATGCCCAAATGAGCCACCAACACATGCACATCTTTTTATAATAAATGTACAAAAAATATTATGTTGTGTAGAAATTCTATTAAAATTTTAATTTTTAAGGTTCCAAATTTATGTCAAGATGTACATATATGATATATCTATATTAGTTGAGTTCAGTAAAAGTTAAAATTTTTGTCATTAAAATGAAATAATCTTGAAGACTTTACTGACTGCAATCAATAGGAAAGGAAGAAAGTCACTCCAGTCTCCTAGTAGTGGTATAAAAGGGCCAAACTTTATAGCCTCCTAGTTTTTATACATGACATGCATTGTTGTAACTGCTTTTATGCAGTAGTTATAGATCTATACATGCACCATGAACTAATTGCAGCCAGCCACCCACGTGTTCTCACATTTCAAAATGGCTGCTCAGGCAAAGTTAAGTGCCTAAAGAGGGAAAAGAGAAGCTATCCACTCCTTCAGACCCACCAAGAAGAAAGAAAGAACAGACTAAGACAGTTTACTAGGACCAAGTAGAGCCTGAGATACAACCAGAAATAGAAATACTACTAATAATAAAAATGATCTTTGAAATCCTCGTACAGTATTTTTTGGTAACATTCCTCTGTCAACTAAAAAGAAGGACATACTCAAGCTGGTCTTCCCCTGTGGTTCGGTCGAGTCGCTACGGCAACGATCAGTTGTGGTTTCTCCTGGTAAGCTTCCTGTTAGAGTTGCTAGGAAACTTAGAAAACAGTTGACAGGGACGACTACTAATTTCTATGTTGTTATGGAGACGGAGGAGTCTGCTAGTGCTTGTTTGAAGTTGAATGGATAAGAGGTTGATGGGAGACATATTAGGGTTGATCTGGCCACACCTACTAATGACACTCACTGTTCTGTGTTTGTAGGTAATGTACCTTTGTACCTTTTGGGGCCAATAAAGAGAAACTGAGAAAAGTATTTGAGTAAGTACATGTACATGTATGTAGTATTTACGTAACGTTCATGTGCATAAAATGCTATTAAAATGGAGAATTCTCTCCTTGAAATTTTTGGTCAAAGATCCTGTACAGGGGCTATTGCTCAATTTTTGAGTAACTTTAGAAATTTGTAAAAAAATCAAAACTTGATGGGAATCAGCTCAAACTTTCTACGCAACATGAGAACATGTATATACATCAGAAAATGTAATTAAAATGTGGAATTTAATCCTTGACATTTTTGGTGAAATTTGGCTTGAGACCCTGTACAGGGACTTTTGCCTGATTTCGGAGCAACTTTTAAAATTTGTAAAAAAAATCCAAACTTGATCAGAGTCAGCTCAAACTTTCTACATAACATAGTACATGTATATGCATCAGAAAATGTAGTAAAAATTGAGAATTTCCTTTTAGCCATTTTTCATAAAATACCCTTTACCATATTATTATACATGTTTTTTTATACTATATCCCAAGTGAGTTTGACAGCAGCCGCTTGAAATTTGAAAAATGTAGCCATACGTCACTAATGACGTCTTATAATGATATTCGTAGAAGCATGGTTTCTGAGGGCCGAGAGACCCAAGACTTGAGATCGTGTAATGGCATTGGGCGACTAAGAACCTGTGAAAGTTTCATCCTTATCCCGCATTCCTATAAAAAGTTATTCCAGTTTTTCTTGAGTCAAACTCAGTTGGGATATAGTATGGTATAGGACTTGGTCAAATTTTTTGATCAACTAATCGATAAAAAATCTGTTTCGATCGGAATAAGATGGTTTTAAAATCATTACTTTCTTTTCCCCCTCATTTTATCATTTTCCTCCCTCCCCTTCTCTCCCTCAGGTCCTGTCACCACTGTGGTCTTATTGATGGCATTCGTATCATTAAAGACACTAGAACTGACATTAACAAAAGGTTTGCTTATGCCATATTCAAAGACAGCAGCTCTGTCTTATTTGCTTGCAAGAAAAATGAGAGGCTTGAACTAGAGGGACGGAAACTAAGAGTTTTTTGCTGTCGCAGCAATAAGTCAAAGTTTCAGACTAAATTTGGAGGAGCCAAGTCCCAAGTTGGTCGTAATAAGAAGTTGCTCAAGTCGTTCCAACCTTCAAAGAAAAAGGGAAAGACTGATAAAAGAAGACTAAACTGAGTAGGAAAGAGAAATCAGTTAAAAAGAAAGAGAAAGCAAGAAGAATAAATAAATAGATAAATAATAAAGAAATGTAAAGAATTATAATACATTAATTAGTATTCTAATTAGCACTATGTTACCAAAGTATGCCTATTATCAGATGATTTCCTCTTCACTTTAAGATTAACTTTTGATAATTTATACAATAAAAGCCATAGTATACATGTCCCAAGCGGTAGTTACCACAGAAAACACTTGCCTAAGTAACTGACTCATCTATTTTACTGTTAATGAAAATGCTGTACTATAGTCAGTCCAGACAGAAGCTATGTCTCTCCTGTTAATAGTTGTTCTCTTATTCTTCAATAGCTCCTGCAGTGTACATCTCCTCTGGTTAGTATTATGTGTCTGATGACTGCAGTTCAGTTACTCAGTCACCTTGTAATCCTTTATCAGTGAATGCTGGGAATATGTCTCAATACAATAACACCATCTTCTACTTCATTGGAACGACTAACATATATTGTTACCATGACTGCAGTAAAGAATGTTACTCTACATGGACTGGATCAGTCTCCTAGTATTAACTGTAATGGAGTTTCTAAAACTAGCATTCTGGTATACTACAGTACTGATGCCACTATTTCTAACATATCGTTCAGTGATTTTTCACTGGAGATTCATTCATCCAACAATATTACAATATCTAGTTGCTCTTTCTTTGGATCAAAATCTGGCATATTGCAGTTATATGATGATTTGATGTTAAAATATCATCAGTTTACAATGACTAAAATAAACAATTACTATGAAACTCTTCCAGTATGTAGTGATGAATTACCCCCATTACTCATTGATACTGACTAATGTTAACTTGACTTAGTTACGCAATACTGGTGAAATGGAACTAGTAATCAATCATGGTAACTCATACAATCTATCAATCATTTTGATTATCTTTATTCTGTACAATGTTTTACATTAGAATTGTTTGAAAGTATCTTTAATTTTTTATTATCATGTCTTCATTTCACAATAATACTCTATCTATTGGCTTTTATATTTACTTTTGTGAAAATTCAGCTCCCACTAAATGCTCATATCCTGGTATTACGTTAGTTTCAAATGTTATGCTAATTGAGATGAGTAAACTTTACAATAACTGGCGCAGATTTCAAATTATTACTGACAAATATTTACCAGGAACAGTGAACTATCACATTATTATCAAATCATGTTTGATGCATGACAATTAAGCAGGGTTATTTATTGATGCAATATTTTTTGAGATTCCTTCAATTCAATGAAATAGACACTAAACTCATTAGAAATGGAGGAGATAAGATAATGAACAGTAATGTTATTAGTCTCAGAAATGTTTCTGTTGCTAACAGTACCTATACAGGATTGACACTTGAAAAATCATTAGTGACAATTAAAAGTAATTTAATATTCAGGAACAATGCTAGAGTAGTTGGAGGAGGATTAGCAATAAATGACTCATCACGATTGATAGTATCATCATCAGCTAACTTGGAGTTTATTGATTATCATGCTTCTTATAAAGGTGGAGGGATCTATGTTAAACAGTCATCAGAGAGTGATGTAAGATTTATAGCACCAAATATACAGGTTCTTACATTGATAAATAATAATAATGCTGGACTGGTTGGTAGTGATATGTATGGTATGACATACAATCAGCTTAACTTCACTAACCCACACATTAGTTCAACTGGTAATCCAGTGTGATAGTGTTTTTGTGATCCTCATGCATGCTATCAGTATTACTTGGTAATAAGTAAACCATAGGTATTACCATGAGTACATGTTACTAAAAGCTGTTTTTATGTAAGTGAACAACACATTTATATCCAGGTCAAACACTGAAGTATTATGTGGCTTTGTCAGGTTACAATTACTTTGGATCACTAACTCCAACAGATGGTACAGCACAAGTCTATAATGACAATAATTTGCTGAATCAAACATATATTCCCAATACTTGTTCACTAATTGAATACACACCTAAATTGACTCAAACAGGATATCAAACTGACTTTAGCACTAGCACCACCTTTACTCACTGTAGACAAAACTTACCCTGATTTCATTGTTAAAGATTATTCCATTGGTGATTCCTGTACTTGCAGTAGCAATTATTGCCTATGTAGAATAAATCAAAATTTCCTTCCTATAATACAAAAATTGAAAATTTCATTGAAGCCAGTGGATAGGGTATCACAATGCAAGTCATACCCTATCCACTGGCTTTAATGTAATTTTCAATTTTTGGTCACCCAGGACTATTGTACATACTGAATCTTTATAAAAAGTAATTCAAAAAACGTAGTAAAGATTTAAGGTGATTTTGGGGCTATTTTTTGGAAAAAAATCATAGACTTTAGTACGATTTTTCAGAATTTTTGTGTTTTCCTAAGTATAAGGCTGTAACTTGAAAAACTGTAGTCAGAATCAGCTCAAACTTGTTATACAGCATAAGTGCATTGTTCTTGACTATACACTTATTTTATTTCAAAGTTAGCTTTATCCTTCTTCTTCATGATATCAAATAATTCCTTTATTGATCGTACATTAATTCCATGATTATCTCTTTGTCCCACCATAGTGTAATGTCTTACCAGCCGTGCAGTCTGTCCAATGTCCATTATTGTTTAGGAAGTGATTGAAATAACTGAAGAATTTAAGATACCATTGACTACAATAAAGCTAGGTATGTTATAATATGTACTATCACACTGTCAAGTAGTGGCAGTGCAGACTACAGTGTATATACATTATTAATTATAATTTTTATAGATATTAAAGACCTTGATATTTTCATTAAAGTATTAACATCAGATCAATTAACACTTGCCTTGTTCTGTATGGCACAGACTAGGTCTACAGTTGGGATTATATGATCCTATTAAAACTAGTAGATATAGACAAGAATAGAGGAGATCCAGTGGAGTATTTCCGTGAGTGTATGTCTGCCTGGTTAAGAGAAGATAAAGTGAGAGAGAAAGGAGGTCCCAGTTGGTCGTCATTAGCTATACAGCGATACAAGAGAAATATATTGCTAGTTACATTAGAGATAAATATTGCATTTAATTGTAACAAAAATGTAAAAAATTTAATAGAACAAATTTTTAAAAAATGTTCATTAATTATTATCATGAAATATAATCATGAAATTGTTTTTTTGACATGTGTTAATTGTTGCCTTCCCCAGTGCTACTTGTCTTGCATTCATTAATTTCATTATAGTATCAAATAGACTCACATTAACATACATATATACCCCTACAGAAACAAAATACATCACAATATCAATATATTGTAGCCTATGGAAGAAAATCACAAAATGAAATTCCTAAATAATGAGATTCATGCATGATCCCAATAGTACAATAACTCATTATACATGATGGATCAGTTAGTGTATAGTATTAGTTTGTATTATGTTAACAGTTAGTGTAGAGCATAGTGTTAGTGGATTTAATACTTTGGCAGCTCCCAGACACTGTTGGAGGAGGTGAATCCGTTCAGAGTTTCTGAACAGAATGTGTAGTGAGTTCTTTCTTACGGAGGAGAATACCTAATAATAATAATTAATAACAGCCAAGGGTTAGCATGTACCAGTATGGTACAAGACACTACCCAAAATCAATGCATCAAGCCTGATTACAGTATTGATACAGTCTGACAAGTATCATTGCTGAATCATGCATGCTGCTCTGGCTGAACCAGTATCAATTCCAGCATATTGTATCAAGGCTGATAGATCAAGCTAGGCTCATTACCATGTTAGCTGCCCAAGATTTATGATTCAGGATGCATTAGGCCAGATCAGGACTGACATCATTCACGATTCAATCACAAACTCTTGGCAGTGTAGTCATTATTATAATCTTCTCTTTCCTTACTTGTCCTAAAATAAATGATAATAATTTATAAATGGCAACTGCTTACACTAGTCTCAGTCCAGTTGCTTCACTCCTTGATATCTTCTCTGATCTTGCCAGATCAACTATTGTGAGACTACCTCTTGTGGTAGTCTTGGATACTGAATTATAAGAAACCAACTAGGTACAATAAAAGGAGGAGATAAGACCTTGAGAGGAAGAGAGAGAGAGAGAGGGAAGGAGAGATGGGGGGATATAGTGAGATATACATGTAGTATTAACCAGTAGTGCATTTTAAAAATACAAATTAATACAAACATTTTAAAACAAGAGATCAATAAGTAAGTAAAGTAACAGATCTTCTCAGCTACATATTAACCTCCTGGGGAAACTTGAAGGTAAGTAAGTTATTATTTATAAACCTGAAATCAAGCGAACTGATTTCTCAATTACAACTTAGTGATGTTAAAGTGATAGCATATTATTGTTGTACCTGTTAGTGTCCAATTTAGTTGAAGCTGTTCTACTATCCAACTGTCATAAGTTTAATAACATCATCAGTGGAACATACTTCAATCTCTGTCAGCCCTTTGACGCAATAAATAAATAATTAACAAGAATTATTACTTGTTGCTTAATGGTACATGTCATTCTTTCCTTTTTGTGTATTTGAAGCTTCTCTTGTACTTTATTTAGTGACTTCAATAAATCATAAATTGACTCATTGTACACTGCAACCATTGACACCTAACAATCAACAAAATATCAAAAATGAATCACTTCCTCCACAGCATAAGGACATCAATATGTATCAGAAAATGTAATAAAAATTTGGGGTATTAAAGGCCATTACTGGGAAAAAAGCATCGACTATAGTAAAGAGATTGTTGCAGGATTTTGGCGTTTTTTAAATGACTGCAACTTAAAAAATTGAAGTTGGAATAAGCTCAAACTTGCTACAAAGCATACATGTAAGTACATCAATAATGCATTTTAAAATATAATAAAAATTTGGAATGATTTTGGAAATAAACATGGACTATAGTACAGGGAATTTTAAAAGAATTTTGCAGTTTTAAAAAATTAATGGCCATAACATGAAAAGCTGAGTTTCGAATCACCACAAACTTGCTACATAGCATACACATGTAAGTACATCAATATTTATTATAAAAAAATTTGGAGTAATTTTGGAGACAAATGTTAAATAAAAACTATGGATTATATAGTACAGTGAAAAGGGAACAAAGCCCTCAAAAAATTTATTGCAAATAAAGAATAGAAACAAAACATGTAGGTGAAGGGAAAACATAGCAAAGTAAATAAAGTTAGAGACACAACAGGGATGTTTTAAAATGGCCAAATGACTTTAAAAATTGAAATCAGAATCAGCTCAAACAGGCTTGCTACACAGCATAAGGACATCAAAATATGTATTAATTTAAGGCCTTTTCACATTGGCACAGTTTTTACGCATTGATTATGCATCATATTGTGTTCTTGTTGCCATTGATTTACATTGATCACACTGTATCATTTCACAACAATTCACCTCTGGAGGGAAGTGAGAGTGACGGCACATTAATTTGAAACCACTCTAGTGTGTACGCATATTATCTATGGTGTGAACGCGATTAATGCGCATTACTTTGGCGAGTGTGAAAAGGCCTTAGAACATTCTTCTTGATTTTGACTTACTTTCATTTCAAAGTCAGTTTTATACCTTTCCTTTTAGTGATTGTAGGCAAACTTCAGGGTTATCTCTACGCGAGACTAGATTATCTCTTGGTCATGCAACTGCTCTCGACAAGACAAATAACAGACGGAGGAGAGGTAAGAGCAGAAACTCTTGCACTGTCATATTCCCCTTGGCTGGCCGGTTGCTTGCAAGTCGACAGGCGTGGCCTGGGACCGACCACTTCTTAAGTGGTTTCCATCATGTCTTCCTTAATGAGCTTTGCTTTACTGGTAAGCTAATCTTTATTATTATTATTACTGTATATGTGCATTTATGTTGATTGTGTATTTATTATAATATTTCTTTTAGTTTCTTTGTATTTTTGTCTCGTTCAAATGCTCTGCAAGTAATGTGGTAAGTATTATTAAATTAATAATAATTATATATTATCTATTTATTATCATTAACTTATGTATAATTATTAGGTTAAAAGAGAAACTGATCGAATGGCAATGGCTACTTGCACAAATGCTTCAGCAGTATGTTGTAGTTATTATTATTACCGCAATTCTTCTAAAATTTCATGCCTCTAATTTCGAAAATAAATTTTTAAGCACTTTTATTTCAAAATTAATTCTAATTATTCGTTTTGTAAATTGTGATGAAAGTTCTTCTGATTTTGTCATTTCCCTCCAATTTTGACACTACAGCATTATAACGCATCATAAACATGGACCTGTTCTGGAAGAGGCCAAAGAGCAGGTCTAACACACAGTGATGTCTTGAGCAGCACTCCGCCGGACAGGTAATTGCCTTAGTTGTATCCGGTTGATAGTGATCAAGATTCATATTGTGAAGATTATTAGTCAAGCTGCAACAAGAAGCATAGACACTTATTATCTTGCTAGCTTAGTGCCTCCTACGGAGTATTTCATCATAATTAATTATTAGTTGGCCATAAAGGCTTAGTTTACTCTAATTATTTGTTTTCCAAATTTATTTATCAAAAGTGACTGTGGCGAATTTTTAGAAGAATTACGATATTATCATTTTTATTATTGTTATTATTATTATTATTATTATTATTTCCAGTGTTCTGTGACCTGTGGTGGTGGTTGTATGATCCAGTATTGTCGGTGTGAGGATCAGGCTGGTGCTGCTTTACAACTCTGTGGCAGTCAGCCTTGCTGCAATATTGGTGATTTTCGAAATGGAAGTAATCCACTTTCCTGTATACAATGTAACATGCAAGCATGTCCTGGTAAGTATCTGTTGCTAGGGCTAGGCAAATTGTGCTAGCATAATTTGGGGCATATTTGGGGCAAATTATTATGCTGGCATAATGGAAGCATAATGGGTCTAAGATTTCTGGCTGACCACATGATTTCAAGTACTAGTAAAACAACCCAACTGCTTAATACTTACCTCCTCAAGCCATGCAAGTGTGGCAAGTTCAATGGTTTAGGTTGTGCTATTTTGCAGTGACTCAAAATCACGAAACATTTTAAGATTCTGGCATTATTATAATATTGCAATTATAACAGACACATGTACATGTAACTTGATAGTCGATATTCAGTAAAGCTTAAACTATGAGCATAATAATGTGGATAATTGGAGTCATTTTAAAGCATAATAAGCAAAAATTGAAACATAATTTGCCTACTGGTACCCCTATCTGTTGCTGTTGACATTATTAATTGCTCTTATTAGTGTTGTTTTATTAGGTGGACCTGCTTCTGTTAATGAGTTCATTCCTCATACAGGGACATTCACTCTTGTTGATAGTGTCACTGGAATGATAGCTGTCACTACTACCAGGGATGCTGCTATGATTAGTATCACTATTCAAGTACCTGACCCAACTGGATATTCTACAACCTTTAATACTACGCGAACAACTACTCAAATGGGTACTCAGACATCCTTTAGTGCTTCACAGGGTTTCTCTGCTCCTACTTATGAAATTTCTAATGGGATGATAAAGATCAATGGTCAGTCATTGATAGCAACTGGTTCTTTCTTAGCTGTTAGAACAATACCTTCCACTGGTAGCTTCAGTTACACGGGATCAGCAGGTTTCTATAAGTTAGGAACCGGGTCTGGTGTTGCCACTTTTAGCGGATACATGCCCTATTACTATATATCACCATTTGGTCACCTTTATGAGTATTCTGGTCCAAAAGCAGTTCAAGTCAAAGCAACAGGTAAGGTGTTTGTTAGATTGAACCAAGTACGGAATGAACGGCTAATCATAACATCAGAGAATTCATACATTACTGGAGAGTTAAGTAAACAGTCTGGTGCTGCAATGACCATAGAGCCAGTTGGAGCTGGAGCAGCTATAGGTTTCAACTTTAGGGGAACTGGTACTAATGCTTTTACAATAACATCATCAACTAATGTCAGGACGGCTGTATCCCCAACCAGTTATACTGGTAGCACACTTATGGTTGGTAGCATGACTTTTAATAACATTGACAATGTCCTCTTAGCTGGGGAAGGCTTTGAACAGTACAGATCTGCCAGCAATGAAGCAACTGCTTTTGTATCCTACGACTCCTTCTTCATCAATGCTCATAATGCTGTCTTCTCAACAAGCTCAAAGGTAACTGCTATGATTCAAGAGGGTCAAATGTTTCTAGCTGGAGGTGGAACATCTCAAGCTGCTTATACAGTCGAAGGTAATAGAGTGAAGTATGGTGGTGTCACTGTATTCACCATTAACTCTGGTTTTACAGAGTCTGATATTGCTGGACCTGTACTGTTATCATATAATGGTCAGGCCTTGTCAGGCAGTGCAAATAATACTGGTATTGAATCTTTTGCTTATAATGTTGGAAATACTAATGGTATAGCATTTAATGGAGATGCAACAGTGTCTTCTGGTCCTGATATTAATGTCCGACTATACGTATCTGGGTCTGAGGCCTTTGCTACCAGTTCACAATCATTAAATGACAACATTACAGCAGCAACAATGCCTAGAACCATAACTGGATTAAGAGCTATGTACACCACAGTCCTTGAATCAGGTAATACTGGAATACTTCAATTGAATGGGCAGAATGTAGTTGAATTCACTGGATCAGCAATGAGCGTGACACTGAATGATGGAGATGCTGTTAGCTACAGTGGGGGAACTATTAGTTTTACTCCTTGTAATTCACGTGGCCCATTCACTGGTATATCCATGTTTACTTATGCTCCTAATGGTCAGAATATAGTACAGTATAATCCTATAGCTTCTAAAACCTTTAATGTTGACTCAAGTTACCAAATAGTCGTTGATAGTAATGGTAACACACTCCTAACTAATGATGGTATGGTCAAAGGATTACTATCCAACCCACAATTTGGAGTGACTTTTAGCAACAGGGACGCCCAAGGTAACTTTTTCCTAATGATAAGATGCAGCAGTATTGAGAGGATGGGTAGGAACACAGCACGTCATGAGGTACCCACTGGGGGCACTGTAAGATTATTGGGAACCTCCTTTGGTGGCATCATGAATGGCAACGCCATATTCCTTGGAGTGACAGCAAGCCTTGTACAAACTTATTACTCCAATGAAACTATCCCAACCACTGTATCAGGGACACCACCTTATAATCAAACTGCCATGACTATATTTTACGTCTACATAACTGGAGATCCTGGAGCTACTGCTACAGTTTTCATTACTGATAGAGCTACACTTGATGCTGCTATTAATAGTGAGTTATTAAGACCAGTGGCAACATCTACTCCTGATCCTGCTATACCTGGACCAGGAACCACTGCACCACCACCTGTGACCACTAGCGGTATAACGGTAGTCATTAGAAATGATGAAATGGGTAATCCTATAGTACGGGCCATGAACCGTAACACTGGTAGTGATACTAATATAATATCATTGACTGGTGGTTCACAGCTTAACATTAGCACTGGTCAAACTATTGAATATAAACATCCTAACCTATCTATAGTTAAACCAGGTGGAATTAGACAGAGATTGAGTGGCAATATTTTTGAGTGTATTTACTTTCGTGATGGAGATTTACAATCTTTTTTTCAAAATGCTACAACAACTGCAAGTAGAGATGGCCTACTGGTGGCTAGTGAAATATCAGGAACTGCTTTCTTCACTGATGACTCTGAAACCATTGACACAATTAGATCTGCTAATCCTCCTACTACTTTTAGTGGTGGAGTCATTATAATTGATGGTAACCCGGTCCTTACAATAGGAGGATCAGTGACTAATCCTATTACTGAGAACACCACTCTATCAGTCAGTTCAGTACAAAGTGTTAGGTTTAGTAACTCAAGGTATTCCGTTATCAATCAGGATGGATCTACTGCTTTCAGATCAAAGAATCAAATGTTTAACACATTGATTCAGTATCAATCTAACTCAGATCAAGTTAATGTTTTATCTCTAACAAGTACAGAAGTAGCTTTTCAAGGACCACAGACAATATCTGTCAGTTCAGACAGAATCATTGTTAGCAATCGTCCTGAGATTAATAATGCTATTGATGCAGTTATATCACCTCCATCACAAACAGTAGGGACTAGAGTGGACAGTAACAATAACACAATTTTGGTTATTGGTGGGCGGGATATACTACCAATGAATAATGCATTGGTACGTCGTGTTCAAAGTTATGAGTTTATTAGTTACAACAACTCTTTGATCAATGTCACTAATGCTATTACTGATAAAATGAGTGGATCTATGATACCAGCAAATGTGTTCACCACATATACTCCAAATGATGATGAGCCAATTTCATTTAATGAATCTGCTTCTTCGATGCCATTTGGATTCGGCTACTTGTACTACACTCCCATTAATGATTCCTTCTTTGTCAGTAGGCCTGATGTTGCGTCCACTATATTCTCAATATTTAATGTTACTAGTACTTTACCTCCTCCACCTGCTACGATGACTCCAATACCTGAGGAACCTATATCCCCAGGTAATCCTGACACAGCTTTTGTTCTTAATTCTGATGGATCATCCTGGGTCCCTTATGCTTACACGCCAGTGAGTTACTAATTATTAGTAACCATTAATAATTAATAAATAGTAACTAGTAATGTATAAATTAATTAATTTATTATTGTAATTCTTTCAGTGTTCTCGTACTTGTGGTGGTGGTATTAGGGTGAGACAGTTAAAGTGTCAAACACCAGCTGGTGATCATGTAAGAACATGTACTCAACCTACGGAGCCTACCTCCACTGACATACCTCCATCAATCAAAGTGTGCAGCCTACAGGATTGCAACAGTGAGTCATAATATTGAGAAAAATTTTGGTGAATTATTTGCTAAATTTTTGGTGACTGGCAAATCAAATTTTATACCATTGAGCATGTACATATGTGTATATGTAATGAATAGTTCAAAATGAATTTTGGCAAATCTATATAAAAGCTCCAAATTCCCACTCCAAAATTACCAACTACGTGTACAATGCACAATGTTCTTATTGCTAAACCTTAATTGTCTCTTATTTTACAGATCCTAATACAATCCTTAACGTCCCAGCCCCTGATGTGAGTGAAGTCAATATGACTATTACTGGTGTACCAGGCAGTGCCATATATGGGCGTGGTATATATTACATAACCTCTAGTGCTTCTGATGACACCTACATGATAACATTTAACAGCCACTGTATGAAGACAGGATCCACGTATAAAATTGTACAGGAGAGGGTAAATGGAGCTTTAGTGACCAACAATAACATTAATCTTGAGACCAATTTTGTTGATAGGATACTCAACTCCACTATTACTGACTTTACTGTCAACTATAATTACAATGGAATGATGTTCCCCGTGACAGTTATTAGGAGTGATGGGTTCCATGACGATGAAGTGGTTACCACAAGTGGATCTGTCTCTTATAACAATGGGGTACTAATATTTGATATGAGGAACCTCTACGGTTTTACCATGGTTACTAAACTGGATAGATTACAGAGTATAATGTTTGTTAATTCATTCCCGCAGGACGAGC